GTGTGCGTGTGTGTGTGTTTAGGGTGAGCATGACTTCTGGATCAAGTTACTCGATCGCTACCTGAAGCCTATTGTTGACACAAAAGCACATCTGGAGGAAGTCACCAGAGAACTCAAGTCACTACGCAACAAGGTCAGCTATCTGCATTCACTATTTATGCAAATCTGTCTCTTTTTTTATCTTTGTGGCATGATTTATGTCTCACACGAGATATGCATCTATATTATTTTATTGTTTTATTACTGTTTGGACATACTGGAAATACTGACAGTGTATTAGGACAGTTTATTTTCTGGTTATTCATTAACTGTTCATTATTTATCATGTGTAAGCATTACAACAGCAAGTCAAACAGAGAATTGCTTTATCTATCTTTTTATGTTTATTGCTCTTTTGATCAGTGTGTGGTAGACTTTGACCGTGGTCAAGCTGCTCACAAACAGGATGTTACCAAAGTGCATGCTGTGATAACATCAGAGAAAGTGAGCCTAACTAATACGACAAGTGTTAGAGGGGTTTTTTTTATAGTCAGTCAATACAGGTGGGTATAATTATTACCTCCACCAAGGAGGTTATGTTTTTTCGCCAGCGTTGGTCTGTTTGTCTGTATGTTTGTTTGTCTGCAAAATAACTCAAAAAGTTATGAACAGATTTTGATGACATTTTCAATAAAGGTTGACAATGGGACAAGGAACAGATGATAAAAATTTTGGTGGTGATTGGTTGAAGCGAAGTAGATAAAATAATAAAATGGCGGGAAATCCGAGCTGCTTGGTGGAGGTCTGCGCTCTCCGAGTGCTTTTCTAGTTAAAGTATGTAATGACAGTTTCTAAATTTCCTAAAGCACATCCTCTCTTGTGCAAATTGGTATTACCTCCTGGCCAAAATATGTGCTGACACTGCTGTGATAAGCTGACCTTATCCAATAATATTGATCCCCTGATTTATAAGTCATATTCTAATTTGAATTTGCTAGATTTGTTAGCGTCTGTATTATTCAGAAATCATCCCTGATCTTGGTTGTTTGGAATAGGAATGATAATAAGAAAAAAATCCTATGACATTTTAGATCTGTCTGAGACGCTCATTTAAAGCTTGAGTCCATTTTGTCGGTTATTAAGGCAGGCAATAAAACATACATTACGGTTAATAATCTGTATTAAGACTTCAAGGAGGAGTGTTTAGGATTCAGGGTATCTATTGGCATGTATGGAAAATAATAACTATGGTTTCATTAGCGTTAAATCACCTGAAATTAAATATCATTGTGTTTTTGTTCACTTTGAATGAACTGTTTATGTCTACAAAGGGAGTGGGTCCTCTTCCACAGAGTCCGCCATGTTTCTACAGTAGCCAAGAATAGACAAACCAAACAATGCTCTAGAGAGTGCCTTTCATGTGTAATACTTAACTCAAAAGCCACCGCAGGATCTTTACACGCTTAAAAAAGGGAGGGGTGAACAAAGGGGATTCACTTGGTTGTAATCTACACCACTAAATGCAACTAAATCCTACACACTGCTAAATGCTCCTTCCTACCCACAGGCAGTCTTCCTGTATTTCATCATCAACGTGCTGTGGGTGGTAGCTACCTTCTTTCTGCAGGCTATTGGAAATGATGTCATCAGCATCAAGATCCCTAAATACTATACGAACGGAACTGCATCTGGAGAATTCCTCATGGTCAGAAAAAAGCACAAAGACACACAGACACATGACAGAAATAGTTAAAGGAGGACTGTGGTATATTTTTAATGTCTGTCAGTACTGCTGCAGCTCCTGATAAAAGTGATCACCATTACTGTCATTTTGTACCGTCAGGTGGAGCCTCTCAGTTTGATGTTCCTGCTGTCTTTTGCTATTCTTCTCATTATCCAGTTCCTGGCCATGTTATATCACAGGTACACACACACACACACACACACACACACTAAGTTCTGTATCTGCCACTCACCTACTAAATACTCAGTTTTTACTTTTTTGCTGCTGCACATGAGATTTGTTTTTGACAACCTCACTGTTAACTCACAGACTGATGTTGAAAGCTAAGCAGGAAAACATCCCAACTTTCAGATACTGGAGATTTGATTTTGCGGCAAAGAAATGATACCACAGTTTTTAAACTGATAATGGATATTTTCCCCCTCCATGAGCAGGGGGCTATTGATTAATACATTCTTGCCTTTATGGAGAATTGTAATGACACCTCCTGTTGTTCTGGAACTACTGTACATCCATTTCCTCATTTTCCCATATTTTCTATCGTGTCTCATCTTGGTGCCTCTCTATTTGCAGAGTCTACACTCTGATCCATGTGGTGTCCTTCCGCGGCACAGAGAAAAACTATAGACCAAAAGAGGATGTAAGCAACAACACTCAAACACATGCACATGTATATTCACATAAAACTGCAGGAATTTTGTTTTTGAATTGAAATCCTTGACAGGTACAGGACATGCAAAGAGGCGCAATTATATTAAAGGGATACCCAGGATCTTTTGACGTGGGGTTGTATGAGCTACTTATCCACAGTCAGTGTATTACATACAGCAGATGTCAGTAAGCAAGCCACCAATTTGGGGAAGAAGGTAGGAGAATCGACACAGAAGATAGCTATTGATTTTTTAAGGAACATTCTGCTGCTGCCCACCATCCACAACAGTACACTGCTAAGCTTCTGTGGCAGTACTCCCGCCTGCTTCTCCAAACTGGGTGCGACTGCCATCTACTGTAGGTAACGCACTGACTATGGATAAGAACCTTATACAACTATGCTTCAAAGGATTTGAACTATCTATTTATGCCGTTCTCCTTGAGTGAGGAGCTGCTTGGGGAGCTAACAGTAGATGTGCGCTTCCCTCTGCATGGTCATATGGTTGGTGAGTGTAGTTTAGTAGAAAAAAGTAGTTCCTCTGTGGATAATCTTGAGTAACCAGGTCATGATTTCTGGAAAGAGACACTACTGTTGAGCTTTTCAAATGTATTTTTTTTGGCGCACAGAACACCACAAGTGCTCAGTGCGCAGACATTGCTAATAACAATAATAATAATAAGCCAATACCTTCAACACTGGGCAACTCACACAAAAACAATCTAGACTAATAATAAATAACATCACAGGTAAGAGGAAACTATGATTATTTGATTTGGGGATAAACTGTCCATTTAAAAGGTAATTACAATACAGCACAGCACAACTTAAAAGAAAAAAAGGACAGTAAAAATTCAAGCATCTACCAAACTTCTGCATTAGATACAGCCACATATCACAGCTAAAAATGTGACATGACAACTAATTCTTTTAAATTGGAAGGTCATTAGTTTGCAGTGTTGCGGAGCAGTGAACTATATGTAATTAAACCAGTGGTTTACCTGCACATTGCAATATCTTACTGGTAATCTGACAACATTTATGTCTTACGCACAGTGATTCAAGTACTTCAGTTACCTTTTTGCCATTTTTCTGTAGTTAACTACTAAAACTTTTTGGGCCATAAAAGGAAAGATTTTTATTTTATTTTACAATTGCTTCTCTACTATTATTAATCCCCCTTTGACCATAATGTACATTGTCATTTTTCAAAGTAGTTTGAACTACTTTTTCCTACTACTTCTTCCCATGTGAAGTAATTGGTAGTTTGCAAAGTTGTGCCTTCAAAGTAGCTTCCCCAACATTGTTAATTTGTTCCACGCCCAGCAGCCTCTGTCCAAAGTGCTGTGTGTGGACAAACTGTAAAAACTACAAGTAATATCACCACATTAAAAGTTACACATACAACATAAAGTTATATTCATTCAGACAGCCACAGCGGGTCGTTTCCCATCAGGAGAGCCAGAGCAGGTAACGTTAGAGGAGGAGAGGGGGCGTGTTCCACCTACCGGTGTCTGAAGAAAACCGCTGTCTGGTCCTCCATGGTGGCAAAGTGTCCAAAAAGTGTTTCCCCGCTGCACTTTTTGTCTGATACATTTTGAGTGTCCTTTTCTATGGTGTTCTCCGACCTCGTCCAACTTCTTTACCCGGCCACATGTCGAGTGTCGCAGTACTTTTATCGGTCTAACTTTAACCGGCTAACGTGAGCTAACTGAAGTAACGTAGCTAACGGTTAGTCTCGCAAAAGTACGTAACAGTTAACGTTAGCTGTTAGCCGATATCGTTGCTGCTGGAAACTTGCTAACTACCTCGTTTGTTTCATTTGAACGAGCTCGCTAACTTTCTAGAGTTTCGTTTAAGTAAAAGAGGCCACCGTGAATTTCCTCAAGAAAATTCCCCAAATCCTGACCGCTCACGCCGTGTCCCTCAGCCGAGACATTGCTAATCACGGGATTTGAATTTCACCTGCGTTTCCTTCTGTGGAATCGATCACTTCGGTGCAATACCATCTGTCACCACACACGCTTATTGACAATTACCATACATTGCACTCGAGGGGGGCGCTGTTTCACTCATTTTGAAATATGAGATTTCAATAATTAAGACTGATGCATTACTTTATTGATTCCATTTACTTATTTATTCATTTATATTTAATAACACGCTTAAAAGTAACTACAGCTGTCAGATAAATGTAGTGGAGTTAAAAGAACCATATATAACTCCGAAATGTAGTTATGGTGGAGTAGAAAAATAGAGTAGCGTGTTGGGAAGGTTATTTTTGAGATCTGATAGGTTAAAGATTACTAGTTACCCTGTGAGAAATGCAATAAGTAATGTAACTATTTTAATTACCTCATCAAAGTAATGTAACGTATTACAATTGATTACTTTTGATTACCTTTATAACAAATGTTTCAAACAGGGCAATCTAGCTGAAAAATGTCTGGAAACAGGCTATGTCAAAATACAGCATTCCTGCACAATCAATGACAAGATGCAAGGCAACAGAATGAATGATTGCTATATATATATATATATATATATATATACAAGTACTTGTACAAGTACAAGTTAAGTACTTGTACAAATTAAGAACTTGAGTAAATGTACTTCTACAGTCCACCACTAATGTTATGTTAGCGACCTACCACCTGCAGTTTCTGGGCAGGTAGACACAAGACTACACAATACTATAGATACAGGATGAGATGTACAATAAATGCCTCTAAAGTTCCAATTATGTGCCCAACTCATCACAAAGGAGATTGTACACTAAGTAGGTGAACTGATGAACAAGTGCAGGTGAAGGCACTACCAGTCTTCATTCAGACAATGAAATTGGTGCAGACATCGTCAACCTTTTTGAGATAACGCTTCCCAACAATGCAGCCTTAGTGGAATTAATGAACAGAAAAAAATCCTTGTAAAGAGATTTTAAATGTCTTGTTATGGAAAACTGCAGCTTCAAGGACCTACATTTATTTGAAATATCCATTTTTGTATAACCTGGGTATAGTAGTAACACTGCAACATTTACAAACATTTACAACAGCATAAATTTTAGGGGTGTAGTAGTTGTATTTTACAAAGCTCAGATCTGACAATGCAACTTTTCACAAGGTGACTCAGTATTTTCTCCATAATATATATTTCAGTTGTTAAAATGAGTGTTGATTAGAAGAAAAAGCTAGATGCAACAAACATGGTCAAAGAAAAATCTAGTAACATTTTAAGCCAGAGACAAAATGATTATGTTACCACCAGAGAAAGTCTCTGTTAGGATAAGTCTGTTCATTTACTTGCCATTGCTGACACCTGACATCTTTTTTTGTGTTTGTGTGTGTGTGTGTGTGTGTCTTCCTGTCACATAGACGGCGGATTATGAAGACTTGACTTTGGAGAACCCCAGCGCCACTGGACTTTACATTACCAGCGATGATCTGTAGTCCATAACAACCAACTGTAACAACCAGCACACATTGGCTTCGCCGGTGGCATCCAACCAGTAGATCTCTTTCCATTTAAGGGCTGCCAATCGAATACTTTTTTCCGGATTTCACAATGCACTAAATTCATTTGATGATTAAACAGCATAGAGGATAGTCTGTCAAACAGTCTTCGTAGATAGGCCATGCATTCATCTCGGTGATCAGGAAATCATCTCGTCTTTAGCTCTTCTGCAGCAGCTGCAACACATCCATTGAATTTTGTTTTGCAATTTAAAATGAATATTTGTTGAGATGTAAGCTCCGATTTTTACACAATGGGATCTCAGGTAGGAGTGTTCCTAATTATCATGTGTTTTATTTGAATGCATTTCCTTTAAGACCAGTATTTATTCTATGTTTAGTGTGGTTTAATGCATCAGGTCCACAGACTTGATCACTTTGTGATTATTAATATTTGTTCTTACATGCATATATCAAAATCTTTTTTAATGAATCACAATCATGAGCTAGATAGAGATGGAAGCAAATCATTTTCACTTGTTCAAGAAAAGTTTGTCTGAGCTCAGGTTAAAAATCAAATGTGCTGCTCCCAAGAAGCCAGTCCTTTAAATATTTTCTAATGCAATACTGGCACAAGAAATACTGTAAGAAATACTCCACTTTTTTGTTAACTTCATATATTTTATACTCTTAATAGTATGGTATAAATTACAGTTTTCTTTTTAATATTATGTCAAGACTGTATCAGTGTACTTATGTATACGATTCATAACAATGCACTTTACAAAGGGATGGAATGTTCTTGCAAAGATTCAAATAAACTCCCTAAAGAAACCACTGAATTGATTTAAATAAATGTGTGGACAATCCTCTTGTATTATAAAATAAAGATATAATTACATAAATAAATATAATCATAATCATTAACTGATATTCATCTTCTCATTTAATGAACATGAGTAAAAAAGTAATATTTCTTTGTCTTTTGACTGGGCACAAGATTTTTCTTCTGTTTTTTATAAATGTTAAGACTGACACAAATGTGTTTATTCAACTCTGTGGTCAAATGGTGGTTGGCCAAAACACTATCAGATCAGGGAACAGACTACAGTTTATAGTTTCTCTTCGGTTTGGTGTACTCTCCTGGCAGTCTCAACTTCACACTACTAAATTGTTGGTGATCCATTCATGCACGAATGACTATCTTCTTGAAGGCCAGCCTAAGCTTAAAGGATCAGCCACATAAAAGCAGGTTCCATTGAAAATTATACTTGAAAACACATTTGCTTGTATGAATGCTTATTTTTCACACCCCTTTAAAAACAACAAACACAACCTGAGTTGACCTTTTTTTAATAAGAAGTCATTTCATTCAAATGAATGCAAGCAGTCGACACAGTTATTAAATAGAGGCGATTGCAAAGCAATCATCCAATATATTTTTGGGGAGACAGATTTCAGCTGAGGGTAAGGCAGCAATCTCAAACTGCGCACAACTGTAAAGGTTAACATCCATTTCATCACTGTTCTCTGTGGGTGCAGAGCAGAAATATGGTGCCTACCACACAAGTGTCTGCAGTACAGTGCACCTTGTTGTTTTCTAGTGTTACAAGTAGCATGTTTACAAGTTGTTAGGTCAGAATGAGGTGCCTTGTATTGAGACAAAGACTCAAGACTGATTGTTGCCACTGTTCCCCAAACACCTAGTACAAAAAAGAGTAACACTTTATCTGAAACTCAATGGATGTCATATCATAACCTTTTCTTAAGGTTGATTAGCCAATATTTATGACCTGTGCTATTCAAGACATAGTAATTGAATTATGTTCCAACCGATGTAGTAAAAATTTCGTCAGTTTCATCATCTCATGAGTTTCAACTAAAGTGTCAACTAAAAGAAGCACACATCAGGCCTTACAAAATGGCTGCCAGTGGTCCTGTGTTAATATACTGTACACAGAAGGTCTGATCTTAAACCCATAACAAATTGCTAATTGGAAATAAATCTAATTTATCAGATAGCATTTTCCCTTATTTTTTTTAGAGAGGGGAAATTGGTCGCTTAATGTGCTGTATATGATAATTAATATTTGAAAGCTAACAATTCAGCTTATATAATGATTGGGATACATCAGGGAATAAAAACCCCTGCCAGCCCAGATGAGTGACACACAGTCTTAATCAGTCCACATGCTGGCACTTCAATAATCAAAAGCTTGACTGAAGCTGCGTTTCTGTCCTCCTCTGTTGTTGCCATAGCCACCGCCGCCATTCCGGAACCCGTTACTGCGGCCGCCATTTCCCCCGAAATTCCGCCCCCTTCCACCTCTGAAACCTCCTCCTCTGTCGCCGCGGTTACCACCGCCAGAGCCTCTGTCGCGGTTGTTGAACTGCTTCTCCTCTAGTTCTGGGAGCTCTGTGGCCACAGTCAGTTGCCAACGGCGACCATCCTTCCAGTTCTCCTGTTAGACGATCAAGTGGAGTGAAAATTACATCAACTGCAATAGGAGACACTGTCAAAATATTTACATTGTACTTTATTTATCGTCAGTAATTCAATCATGAAGACGCTATAATCAGTCCACCCCACATATTGAACAGACGGGAGCTTTCACAGTTTTGCTCACCTGAATCTCCTTGACTTTGTCAACGGGGACATCAAAACAAACTCCCTGTTAAAAACACAACAAGGGTGAGATGGTTAATGTTTCTGTCTGTACCTGCTGTGCTATCAGAATTAGGGCTCATTTATGCTCAATGTTAGGACACAGGTGGAGCCTTATGTCAGTACTTTGTGTTAATTTTGCCCGTTTCCTAGCAGATTTTCTTAAAGCTTACAAATGAGGATGAAACGGAGCAGTACCCCCGAGCTCCTGAGGGAAGTGCAATGTGGTTCAAGCAAGATTTGACCGTGGCAGACCACGAAGACATTGCAAAAAACGGCATAATGGAACAAATCTGTAATATTGTGAGAAGAATTCTCTGTCCACTTGAAATGACAATTTAATGACCTCACAGACCATTGACATCTGCACTGCTGCACTGCTGCCTCCGTTAAAACGTACAATATTACAACCTCCTCCACCATCGCCATGTTTGTTGTTGTCAAAAACTTTTGAATCTGCCTCTAGCGTCATCTATTAGCTGTACTGATGCCGACATAAAGGATACGTAAAGGGAGTATAAATGAGCCTCAAGAGTTAAAACAGCCATGGTCACATCTACAGAAAGTTTTCACACCTTTAATTTTTGCCAACAAATGTTGTACTGTTTAATTCCTGTGGATAATTAGTTGTGTACTATGTCTAGTGTGACTGTAGTAGCTGACTTCACATATAAACTAAACAATGCTGTTGAATTGTAAGAAATTACACAGTCATTTTCTGAATTTGCATTTTGATGTACCACCTGGTTTCCAATTTACTTCTTCATTTGCCAAGTCTATGACTTTAATTTACGAGGATCTGTGGGGGCCTTTTTTGGCAAGACATCACCGATCTAAGTGGCATCTAACAAGAGCACTCTATGGCTGTCATCTGGCCCAAATCCTGCATCCATGTTCAACTTAATAACTGCATACACCTAATCAAATATACACTTCCTAGTACAGAGATTACTTTAATCCTTATTCTTAACCTTAAAATAATGAAAGTAGAACTGAAAGAACAGGGAATGTAACAAATATATTTCATTCAATGTGTATATAAAAGCCAGCAGCACCTCCCATATGTACATATGTGTGCATACATACCATTTTGCCTTTGAGGAAGGTCATTCTGTGAACGTGGTTCTCAAACTGCTCTCCAAGCTGATCTTTAATGGCTCTCCAGGCATAACCCAGATTATGCATCTCCTGAGAACACACCAGCTGCACAGTGGTGTAACCCTGCAAAAACAGAGACAATAAATTATGTGGGATCAGGGTTATACAGCAAATTTATGACAGAATGTAAACATCTGTGCGTTAGAGGGATTTACATGTCGTGTGTGCGTGTGTGCATCCAAGGGCTGCTACCCATCCTACAGCTTTAGTGAAACCCTTGCAGGTATGGCTACTACAGTGTTTCAGTTAACACTGAAACCCTAAACAAACATATTAAACCACCCTGTCTGGCAATGTTGTGAGTGGGGGCTGCTGTAATACAGTAATGTGTCCAGATTTGTGTTATTTATAAGTTGTTAATGATGGGAATAAAACCAAACTTACAGCATCAGAGTTGAGCAATGACCTCTGCTCTAGACTTGTGGCTCCAGAAATATGTGCCAGGGCAGCGGCGAGTGCATCAACTGCTCCTCTCTCCTCAATCAGCTTCTCAGCTGATGCTCTGAAGTACTCGATGGCTGTTACTGGAACAGAGTCCAGAAACCTGGGCACAATACAGAAACAAAATCATAAGAATCTGACACTTAATTGCTTCACATTGAGCAGTATGGTGATAAGGGAGATTTCAGCAGGGCAGGAGCTTTGTAGTGCCACTGATTCAAGTCTAGCTGCCCAAGACATGATAGTAGCTCTCATTATTCACCAAATGAGTTGGCTCACGCAGTCCAAAGTTTCAAACAGTAATCAACTACAATTCCAAGACATATAGACGGTTGGCTCTCACCCTCCAGAATTACCTACCTGACAGCATCCTTGCTTGATGACTTGATGATATCGTTGGCAGTGGGAACTCCAACCCGTCTGAATGTGATACCCTGAAAAAATACCGAATAAAATGCATTAGGTCAATATAGAAACATCTAAGTACACACTATTTCTAACTACAGGAAGGTAGCTTTCAGTCTGGTTGTACCTATAGTGCAGCAGCACCTTCTTAACTCTTGCCCCTTTAACAAAACACTCTGACTCCTCTTCTTTTCTGTCTTCACCTTTTTTGATTATTCCCTTCCTTCTTTGACTGCGGATTGGCTAGGGGTGGCCGTGTTCACCTGGCCACCGCAGTTGTTGCCTTTTTAGGGCATTTTTTCTTTTTCTTTTTTTTTTTTTAGAAGTGGAACCATTTCTGTACAGCAGCAACACCTTCTGAACAATTTCAGGTGCGTACACAAACCAACTCTGGAGACTTTACAACTGGCAAATGACAGTCTGGTAAACCAACAAATGAATGAAGGTAACGTTAAGCTAATAATGGCAGAAAAAAAGCACTTTTTCACACTTTTAAACATTCTATTTGTGACTGCATCTACTTTGCGAAGTTTAGATCCCCAACATGGCAGCAAGATAAACAGCAAACAAATGGATAAACCTAAGGTAAAGTAAACTGATCAGAAGGCATGAAAACAATGTGGCATTTTGAGTCGTAACAGTTTAAGTCATATTACATTTTGAATATTTTTTATCAGAGAAATCGGGGACTATATTTTTGTTCATGCACAATGCCCACCTATTGTTAGTATGTGTGCATTTACTCACTGTTCATCACTGTATGTTGCTGTATTCTGTTTTATTTCAAATACTAAATTCATCATTAGGGGCTTGTTTTAGATGGTCCAAAAAGAAGTTACAGAAAAACATACTCTGACCTCTACTAACGGATACATTCATTTGCTTGCTGCAAGATTTAACCTCTTGCTACAGTAACTTGATTAGAGTAGCTTCACTGAAATAAATCATAATTAGCTTGTTTTTATTACAAAGACATCGATCATGGCTTGAGAAGTTGAGCAGTTGAACATATTCAAAAGTTGACTATGACTTCTTATACTGATGTTAAAGTTTTATGTATATATTAATTATATTTAATGGTTGCATATAATGTAATCAGACTTTGATTAAAAAACTCCTTTTAATTATGTATCCGTCTGTGTCTCTGTATCTCTGATTATACAATTAGAAAGAATGAACACTTAGTGCTACTGAACATCATGAGCTGTGCTGAACATCTGCTCTCAGAACAGTTAATTGTCTTTAGCTTGGTACACTT